CTTGTCTTGCCTAAAACATCTTGTTTCTGATTTGTATGCAGCAACCTTCCTGCTTAATGGAACACTGCTAATCCATGCTTTCCCAAAATATCTTCTTTGCCAGACGGAAAAAAAGAACTAGATCCTTGCAACTTCCCTCCTGGGTCATGCAGAAATAGAATAGAATAGAAATAGAATAGTTCAATTGGAAAGGGACTTACAAAGATCATCTGGTTCAACTGCCTGAGCACCTCAGGCCTAACCAAAAGCTAAAGCGTATTGTTAGGGCATTAATCCAAACACATCTTGAGAACTGTCAGGCATGGGGCATCAGCCACCTTGCTTGGAAGCCTGTTGCAGCATCTGACCTCCCTCACAGTAAAGACATTCTTCCTGATGCCCAGCCTGAACCTCCCATTTGGCAGCTGTGCCATTCCCATGCATCCTGTCACTAGACAGCAGGGAGAAGTGCCCAGCACCTCTCTCTGTGCTTCTGATCCTCAGGAGGTTGCAGAGATCTATGAGACCTTGCAGGATCATATTTAACAAACGCCAATTTGACACTTGAAGAGTAATGAAGTTTCCAACCACTTGTTCACACAGCCATGGAGAGGCTTAATCTAAATCGCTACACTCCAAATGAAGTAAACCACACCCGGGGCAATCAGTCAGTGCTTCTTCATGCCTCGTCAACCAGAGAAGCTGCTAAGAATGGAAAGTCTTTGTACCTGCTTAGTAATTAAGTACAGCTCACAAACTGATACACACTGATCTAAATAAGCAAGTTGTTTTTCCAGTTGCTTTTGAGAACATTGACAAAGCATCAAAAGATACGTTGCACTCAAGATCTGGATATCTATTTCTGTTCCTACACACACAGGATATGTTACAGTGCTCTAAAATAAATCAACATATTCAACAAATCCTAGCTTTTGTTACCGTGCAGTTGCCTGCGAACAGATTGCTTTTTGCAATTGCTTAGACTGTAAAGGTTTAGCACATACTAATTAAGAGCAAAATCATCTGATTCTGATAATTTAGATGTTATTTTAGACAATTTAAAAACAAAATCAACAAATATGATCGTATCATCTTGAAATTAAGAATGAATGCACAAGGTAAGAAAGAATGCAACAAAAGCAACATATTCATCTTTCACGTGTAACCAATACCAAAAGAACAGTGAACTAAACCTGAACCACTGCATGCACATGCAATGAATAATTCTGAACAGAGATTTGTAAGAATGTTTTGTACATCACAAATTTGATGAACATTAAACTAAAGGACAGAAGAAAGCTTTCTTAAACAGCCCTCAGAAGGAATGGTAAAGGACTATCAAAATAATGCTGACTATAATATCGACGATTTTAGTTTCATTTTTTTTTTAAACAGACTATATTTTATAGACAGCACTACTCAAAAGTTTCTGACAGGACATTAAAAAAAGAAACATATGAATCCTAACCACATTAGAGGGTTAGGATAGAAGGAGATAACATCGGAGCATTTTCAACGGAATTTTTTACTTCGAGCATTTTCACAATACTAAAAATGAATAATTGCAAATGTGTTCTATATATTTAACATAAATTAGATAAGTTAAAGCAGATGAGCAACAGAAAGTTACTCAAGCTGACAGATCTTCAAAGAAATGTGCCATGTGGTGAACCAGCTGGTCATAATCAGACTTCAAATTAATACTATTTTTGAAACAAGGATTCAAAACCTTCAGCAGTGAAGCCAGTTAAATCACAATACACGTTAGTTCTGAGATGTACAAGATTCTTTTTCCTCCTCCCAAGGAATAAAAGAACTTTTCCTCCCAGTTCACAGACCAATCTCATGCTCGAGAGAAGCAGAACATTCTTTGAAGAACCAAGCTGTTCCTTAAAGCTGTTCAGAAAGCTACTGTCTTAACGGCTGACAGAAATCAACACTTTTAAGGTGCTGATCCACAGATGAATCTACTGGAAGAGCAGTCTATGATTTATAACCAAGAGCATCCCAATCTCCTTCTACATTATCACCCAGAGGAGCAGGGAAGAATGACTGAGAAAATAATGGATCTTGGCAGAATTGGAAAGTAGCACCCGTTACTAAAAGAATTACAGCACACTCACAGTAGTGTACAAACATATGAAGTGGTGTCCAGCCTTCACTGGCCCACAAAAAAAAAAAAAAAAAAAGAAAAAAAAGATATGCTAGCATCCTACCACCTTTGTGCTTTCTGCTCCCTGCCATACAGGTCAAAAAAACCAGCCTAGGCAGGATGTGCCACAGCCTCTGGCAGCTTCACAAACTGTCCTAGGGACCATTAAGTTAAAACAGTGGAAACACAAACTTTGAAGATGAATTTTAGTTTTAAATGAATGCAAATTACTAAAGAACATTACTGCCAAAACATGATGCGGTTTAATGCCAATTTCTTGCTCACTGTAAAAAGTGCCAGGCATTTCCAAGTTCTCAAGTGAAGTACAGTGTTAGTAATGCTCTTGCAATGCTTTACTAAGTCCATTCACCTCTAATTTACCAGCATTTTACTGTTCTGCAGGCTCAACAAATCCAAATCCAGTTACTTTCATGCAATTTGAAGTTGACAATAAACAAAAAAGACCTCAGGCAACTAAAGCTTTAGCAATCAAAAAATCACTTCTGTATCAGGGTTAACAGCAATAGTTTATGAACAAACAATGAATTTAAAAAACTAAAAAAATTAAAAAATATATATAAAACATATAAATTATAATTATGAATCTAAACAACAATTATTTTCAGGAAATAAAACTAGGTCATCTAAATTATAATTATATAATGCTAGAAGAATCCTAATTTAGTAGGTAAATTTCTCCAAAATGTTCAAGTGAGACCAGCAGTGTGAGAAATGCAGAGTAATACTTCACAAGTTCTACCCTGGAAAGCAAAAGGGCTGCAATTGCCCAAGGAAATCCCAAACTAGAAAATTACAGTGTCCTTCATCTCCTTTCTCCAAGGAACTTGAAGGCTCATCTGAAATAAAAGAAAGGAGGTTTTCCAGAGAAGACGCAGGCTTTCCATCATGCAGTCAGAAAAAAAAAAAGAGATGACAAACCATTCACGTTCCCAGTATTACTATCTGGCTCTCCAGGTACATGATCTACACTGCTTAAAACAAGTAGAGCCCCCTCTCACATAAACAACTTACGATGGGCCCAACTCCCTCTCTCTGAGCTGGTAAAGCGAGCAGCCTTGCAGAACAGACTGAAGACTGAGAGCCAGAAATAAAGGAGATAACTTCTTGCCAGGTCAGATCTGAACCCATTCAGAAAACACAGCCAAGCATTCACCAGACTGAAATGAACACACAGTTGGAAAAAAAGAAAAAAGAAAAAAAAAGAGCCAAGTGAAAGACCTTGTTTCCAAGCAGTACACATTTAGCTTGGCTTAAACACCAGACATCCCCAGGTGCAGGCTGCCAGGTGTTAGCACTGTGGCTAGATTGCTAGGAGCATGTGACAAATGCAAGACCTGCAACAGATGTGCTGAGAGCACACAGGACTTAAGACCAGAAGCCTCCAGAGTAGGAAAAGCATTATGCTTTAACTCTGATTAGTGGAGTTCTAGGAAACCCCTCAGTTTGGCTTCACTTTTAAACACACAACTCATACTAACCTTGGCCTAAGACAAAGAGATGAAGTCACTACACTCAGCTAAGATGAAGAGGATATCAGTCAGTGTTCAGGCAAAACATATTATAAACTGTCTAAAAAGAAGGTGTTTCAACTGTTTCCTAAAATATTTCAATTAATAATCCAGATTAAAAAAAAAGAAGAAGAAGAAAAAAAAAGCATACATATGTTTGATTCCTTTACTGAGTGCATTGTTTATGGTGCATGGAGACGATACTGAAGAGAACACAGTTACAGACATGCTTTAAGCTAGTAAGAAACAGTAGAGCAATGCAAAGAAAATCAACCCATGGCAGTTTTCTCAGCTAATACAGGTGCTGAAATCCCACACATGCCTCTGTGGTGCATGAGAGCACACATACAGAACTCAAACTTGTCTGCACGCTTCAGCATGTACTCAGACTTATACTGCATACAAGGGAAACTATCAACCCTACTCTAGGTGACAGCATCAATACAGCTGCGTTTTTGTTCTGAAAATGAGTGTTAAAATATACATGCGACAAAATGAACAAATATCTTACAGTTTCTGAAAACCAACAGCAACCACGGGTGTTCTAATGCACACAAAACACTGGCCAGTGGAAACCACAATTCCACAAAAGAGAATACAGTCAGTGTGACACAGCAGCTGCTCTGCAACCCCAGGACAGCCCCACCTGTTGCCAACACCAACCTGCCAGGCTGTGACTGCACCTTCTTTGTCAGTCCTGGCAAAGTCAGTATTTCCATGTTGCTATAAAACCAAGGACGCAAGGCAACCCGAACGGAGGGAGTAGTGCCAGATCACTCAACCCCGAATTAGAAAGTGCTGTTGTTAATGGAAATTGCTTTTGAAGGGATAGCATTGATCTCATACCATGGTGGGCTGTATAAAATATTTTAACATCTCCATAGCAAACTGAAGGTGTGAGTGTGGTACTGGCAGACACGTTTGCGTTATTTTTAACCTGTTAAAAGCCATAATGTTTAGCTCAAGCACGGGCCAGTGACTGCGCCTCGTGACAAACGCGTGTTCCCATGACTGGGGTACCTACTCTGCAAGCCGTCCCCACGTTCTCGCGAGTTCCGCGCAGGTGGGGCGGGCACGCACTCATTGTAACCACCTGTGCCAAAAATACTCAGCAATACCTCATCTCTAATTGCACTCTTAGACTCCTCAAAAGAGACGCGTATTTCCCAGCACAAAACCGTAAATGGTTTCGGCCAGAAAACCACCGCCCTGCAACGCGCGAACAGCAGCGAGAGACCGCAGCGCCGCCACTCGCCCCGCGCCGGGCCCCGCCACGCTCGGCTCCGCCTCTGGCCGCTCCCGTACCACGGAGGGCGGGCTCTCCTCCACCTCCTCCTTACCAGTCGGTGCTCGCGCGCGGCCTGTGGCGGCGCTGCCCCGCGGCCCCGAGCCTCTCGCTTCCCGCGGCCTCCGCCTCCTCGGTGTCCGTGAGCGCCGCCTCTCCCGCGGCCCCCGGTTCCTCCTCGGCCGTGGCCGTCCGCGCTGCCGCTTTCGGTCGCCGACTCGGCCGCCTTGTCTGCGCCGCCGGGCCGTCTCCGGCCGTGCCGGCCACCTTCCCTCCGGGGCCGGCTGCCGCCCCGTTCCGGCTGCATGGTTGGGCCGCGCCCTTCACCCGCGCCGCCTGCGGCCGGGACGGTCCGTGCCGCGCCGGTCCCCGCCTCCTCCCGGAAAGAGGCCGGCCGTGAGGGCGAGAGCGGGAAATGGCGGCGCCGCACGGCGGCGGCCCCGGCTGCTGCCCTGCTCGCGGCGGTGCGGCTCGCGCGAGCCACGTCAGTGCGCCCGACCGGGTCTGTGCCAAAACAGTGCGTTGTAATGTTTAGAAAACAATGATGTTACAGCTGTGTGAGGTTCGTTTCTGCACCGTGTGAGGAAAAAACAGGAACCAACCCCTGGCGGACATCTAGTTGCGGGCAAGCCCGTGCAAAGTAAAGTCTGTCAGGCGTTCCTGCACGCGCACGGGCAGGGACTCCGAGTCCCTCCGAGCGAGGCTGTTTGCTCTGCTGTGCCTGAGCTGGAGTCCACGTGCCATGCCAGGGAGGTTTACCGAGCTCCCATCCCACAGTTACTGCACTGGTTTTCCCGTGCAAACTGTCATTTGGAAATACGTGTTAAAATACCTGTTTTGACGGGGTTTTTAAACCCAGTAATCCTCACAGCACAGTGCTGCCAGAAAACCCACACTGTGAAATCATGGGTTATATATCTCTGCACTACTGCTGCCCATAGCAAAGACTGCTGCTAGGCCTTAATGCACTGCAAACCAGTAACATTAGCATGCTTTCAGTACTGCATGCAAGCAAATACATTTACTAGGGGGATGCATCAGCAGCAAGCACGTCACTAAGACACTGGAGCAATTCCATGTGCAGCCAACACCAGCCTAGCAGGCCCAGCACTGAGCTAGAGCTAATAAACCCCATTAAACCCAAGCTGTGACTGCATCTGTGGCACAATTCATCTGTGACATGAACAATCTGCCTGCAGATAGCTGTGAGCTGACTATATGTACAGATTTAACATCTCGCAGTAATTAGTACTTACAGCTAGCTCAAAAAAAAAAAATCAGAAATATTTGGCAAAAAATAACAAATTCATGACAACTCACAAGTGTGAAGTTCATGCGTCAATAATTTTGAGGCAGATAGCAAAGTCATGGTATTGTACATGTGCGTCTTGATTTTGTAATTTAATTCTGATCTCCCTATTATTATAATCTGTTGTGATAGACAGTTAACATAAATTGTTACCATAGCACACTGAAGTCTCATTCATAGACTGTTGCTCCGAGTTACAGAAAAATAAAGAACAAAAGGTAACACTATAATGTGTAACATTTAATGTGTAACACTATAATGTGTTAACAGAGAACTATGAGGCACAAGAGGATGCAGTATGAGAAGCTATCCAAATGGTCAAAATGTCAGGAGATCTTTGCATGAGAGTTGCTTAGGTACTGTCAGTTTTCATAGGCGTCAGCAAAACAGTCCATTAGGGAGAAAACATGATGATAGTGAGAGTGATTTATTTGGTGATAATGGCTAAGTTTGTGTCATTGATTATAGGGAACTCATACCAAGCATGAAGAACAGCAATGGAGAAAGCAAAATTATTCAAAAAAGATAGTAGGTGAATATAAGAGTGCTGGTGTAAAATTGGCGCAAAGAAGAAAAATGAGACTGGAAGGAAAAGTGTGAAAAGCCTTCAAAAAGAAAAGAAGTAGCTAAGTTTTCATGTAGCAGCAGAGAGGATCACTGTGAAGAGATGAGCTGTGTTTGGCTCCCCAAAATGATACATTTAGGGATCTCTTTGTGAGGACGCTTACCCTCACAATGCTCTTCTGTCTTTTGTTTAAATATTAATTACAATGTATATCCATATCATCTGTGTTCTCCCTACTGAAGTCATTTCAGTCCAAGAGCAGTTGTGTTAGGGCAACAAGTTCTGCTTCTCCTTTTGCTCTGTGGTCTGCAGTCTACGTAGGGTAGCTTCAGAAGTCTTTTCTAATTTCCAGTTTTAGGGAGGGTGAAAGATCGGATTGGGGAGCACACTTGCTCACTTGCTGCCTATGGCAAAAGACAAAGCATTACAATTTCTACTCTCTACTATTCTGAGAAGGGTGTCACATTTTAGGGAAGAAAAAAAAAGAAAGATAGAAAGAAAAAAAAAGAAAAAGAAAAAAGAAAAAGAAATTCAGCCTCCTGTAATCTTCCTGACCTGTTGCAGAACCCCAGGTGTCAGGCATGGTTAGTGGGCATGGTGGGGATAGGTTGGGGTTGGACAATCCTGGAATCTTTTCCAACCTCAATAATTCTATGATTCTATGATTCTAATGTAGAAGGCAGCCAGTTAATAGAGGTTTATTCATGTGCTTGATTGACATTCATACTTAATGCCTTTTTGAGGCTGTCTCAAGGTTTTTCTGAAATCTCACTTGCCGTACAGCTACTGGCAATGTTTCAGCTATGTTAGTTGTCCGGCAAAATGCACATCCCCTTTCTAGGAGCTCAGTTGACTAAGTTAGAGCTTAGCTGTCTGAGGTCAGCTGCCCTGCTAATAAGAACTGTTGTGAAGAAAGCAAGAAGCAAGGGCCTCCATCTCCTTTCTCTTGTAGATTTCTGCAGAGTCTAGAACCAGGATGAAAATTCTTCCCTCACTTAGGGCTTGTTGGGACTGCTGTGTCACTTCTGCTATTCTTGGCTGCTAGGCTGGCTCATGAGGCCAGAGAAGCTAAGCATACAGATGGTTGACATGCATATGTTATAATTACTGTGCTTATTGCTAGGCTACAAGGCCTATACATGAACTAAAATCCTGTTCAGCTACACTCAGTATGCATTATGCATAAACAGGATACAGACTTATGGACGTCTAAATATAAGACAGAAGATGACAGAGAGACAAAGTGGTGAAGCACCACTTCAGTCAGAGTCATAGCCAGTGGTCTCAGTACACCAGCAAGCTTACTGTTATCAAATCTCATCACAAGAGGTAGTCTTTATGGAATGTTTAAAGAAGAAATCTGGTATACTTTTGTGGACACTTAAAAGACACTGGATAACAAAAGTGAAGGAAAAAATAAAATATAAAATAAAATATAAAGTAAAATGACAGTGGAAAATATTGAGATTATTTTCTGAAAATTCAGCAAGTGGCTATAAAACATTTATACATTCAGCTGATATTCATCTACTCAGGAGCCTGCTACTGGGCACTAAAATAGATGACAATGTGTGAAAACTACAGGCTGGAAAGCTTGCAGTTAATGCAAGACATTTGCAAAGACCAAAGAAAATAATGTTCCAAGAGTTAGGATGAAAGAGGAGTGGTATGAATGGATAGGAAGGACTGCAAAAGAGAGATTTTGTATCCTGAAGACTTAAAAGTTGGACTTGGTGACCTATATGATAATTTTAGCTGAACCCGTATCAGTTACAAAAAAAAAAAAAAAAAAAATCTTCTTACCTGTTTTTTTACTGAGTAGATGGCTGATAAATTTAAGCATCCTTTTCTATTTCTGACTTTAAAAACCTAACATCTACTTGATTATTCCAAAATTATGTGGCCTACAAAGAGTAAGCATCAAACAAATGATTAACATCATCAGATGTGATGGAATAACTAAAAACCAGCAGAGATCTGTGAAAGAAGCTAATTGCCTGATTCAGGCATGCATTCTCAGAAACAAGAAAACAGCAGTGAAAAGTTACACCGTATGAGAGAGACTATAGGAAGGTATGGACATTAGAGATACATATATTAATATAATAACAGTGGTTTCATTTCCTTCTACTGCTTATGCAGTCTACAGTATTAAATTGTTTTTGTTGCAGTTTGTCACTGGGGTTATCCATTGATGACTCCCCTTCATTTTACTCATTTCTGTCCTCACCCAATCCTTCCAGCACTTCCTCACCTTATCTTACTCAGACCTTCCTATAGGGAAAAGTCTTTTCAGCTAAACTTATTTTTCTGAAAACATTTTTTTTTTTGTCCTTTTCTATTTGCTTAACTCTAAAAATTCCCCAGCAGAGCACTTCTAACACCTAATTATTTACCAGTGCCACCGTGCCAGCATGGTTACTGTCTCCCTATGCATCTTCAGTACCCTTGTGTTCCTTTTCTGCTGATGGATTCTGAAACAGTGACTTCCTCAAATTTTCTAGAGACCATTTCTGAAATTTTGACGTATCTTCTACACAGTGTTGTAAGGAACAACACCATGACTCACTGTCTCATTACACTGCAAAACTTTAATGTCTGTCTTTAACAATATGTAGAGTGCCTCTTAAGGTATTAAAAATGTAAGAGCTTGTGTGATTGAACATCTTATGAAACAATAGTTGTTTTGATTGCATTTAGAAATGTCATGAGAACATTGTCCTAGAACACATGTGTGTTTTATTTAGTTCACAATGATAGAAACAGTTATGACAATACAGAAAGAGAACACAAATAATTTGATGGATTGCTTTGCAAGTGTTTCAAGGTATATCTAATGGAAGTCTGTGCTATTTAATGAGCTGCTTTCTTTTTCTCTTTTTTCCTTTTATTTTTACAGCTGCCTCCAAAAGATATACAGAAAACAATATGCAAGAGTGCTAAGATTCTGATGACAATTGATCAAGAAAAAGAATGGAAGTAAATCTATTCAGCAATTCTACTGTTATAAATAGTTCATCCATCAACCATAAACAGTTAGAAGGGCACAGCCTCTGGGAAGTTATTACTATTGCCACTGTAACTGCAATTGTAAGCTTAATAACCATAGTGGGAAATGTTCTTGTAATGATATCCTTCAAGGTTAACAGTCAGCTCAAAACTGTTAACAACTATTACTTGCTCAGTCTTGCCTGTGCAGACCTCATCATTGGAATATTTTCTATGAACCTCTATACCTCTTATATACTCATAGGCCATTGGTCTCTTGGAAGCCTGGCGTGTGACTTGTGGCTAGCGCTGGATTACGTAGCTAGCAATGCTTCAGTCATGAACCTCCTAGTCATCAGCTTTGACAGATATTTTTCCATCACAAGGCCTTTGACATACAGAGCTAAACGCACGCCCAAAAGAGCTGGCATCATGATCGGCCTGGCTTGGCTAATCTCCTTCATTCTATGGGCACCTGTAATATTATGCTGGCAGTATTTTGTGGGTGAACGAACAGTACCCCCTGAGGAATGCCAGATACAGTTTTTATACGAGCCCATTATCACTTTTGGTACTGCAATTGCTGCTTTTTACATTCCAGTGTCAGTGATGACCATTTTATATTGCCGCATCTACAAAGAGACTGAGAAACGTACCAAGGACCTCGCTGAACTTCAGGGTTCTGAGTCTGTGGCCGAATTTGAGACGATAAAGCCTCGAAAAGCTTTCCTGAAGTCTTGCTTCAGTTGCAAGCAACAAAACTTAGTCAAAAGGGAGAGATGTCAGGCTTCCTGGTCTTCATCTAGTCGAAGTACATCAGCTACAGTGAAGGCATCCCAGGCAGTGAGCACGTGCACTGAGTGGGCTAAGGCTGACCAACTGACCACCTGCAGCAGCTATGCATCATCAGAAGAAGAGGACAAACTTGCCACTGATCCTGTTTTCCAAGTTGCATACAGGAGTCCATCTAAAGGTAAGGAAGAAGAATTTAATGAAAGGGAAAGTAAGGATATTGTTGTCAAAGACCAACCTGAAGAAAACGATTTTGAGACCCAGCAATACTTTTTGTCACCTGCCATCGGCCAAAAAAGTAAAAAATGTGTGGCCTACAAATTCCGCTTGGTGGTTAAGGCTGATGGCACTCAAGAAGCCAACAATGGTTGCCGTAAGGTAAAAATAACTCCTTGTTCTGCTGCTGTGTCAAAGGATCCTTCCATCAAAAGCATGGATCCAAATATAAATAACCAAATCACCAAAAGGAAAAGGATGGTTCTTATAAAAGAACGTAAAGCAGCACAGACTTTGAGTGCCATTCTTTTGGCTTTTATCATCACATGGACTCCCTACAATATAATGGTTTTGATCTCCACATTCTGCTCGGACTGCATTCCTCTGACATTGTGGCACCTTGGATACTGGCTATGCTATGTGAACAGCACTGTTAATCCCATGTGTTATGCTCTCTGTAACAAAACTTTCAGGAAAACTTTTAAGATGCTACTTTTCTGCCAGTGGAAAAAGAAAAAAGTGGAAGAGAAACTGTACTGGCAGGGCAATACTCGAATGCCATAACAACTCCTATATAAGAGATAAATGGAAAAATAGATATTAACATAGCCTAGTAAAGGACTTTTGATTCCGTGTTTTCAAAGCTGTTGTTTTATATGTCTATGTGTTAAAAAAAATAGTCAGCAAAAAGTGATATTTTGCATGAAAGTAGTGTATTTGGGATAAAGAAGTCAGTGGTTACTGGCAGGGTGTTCATGATTACGCAGTAGATCTGCATTAAAATTGTTGTGTTTGGGTTCTTCTGTCCTTTCTTTCAGCCTGAGAAATTGTAGTGTGTCTTATAAACTTCTAGAAATTAGCACATGATTATCATCCAGTCATCAGGGCAGGTTATCCAGCCTGTCTCCTCTTAGTGCAGAACTGTTTCTTCCTATAGTTCCTTTTCTTCTTTCTGCTGTATTGTCAATTTATTTTTCAATAGAACAAGCAATGGAACACGTATTACTTCTGTTTTGAGACTTTTCCACATGCTACGGAATGAAATAAGGACTATTTAAAGAGGGAAATACTGTTATCAATACTAGGGAGATTAGGGATTTAGGGAGATTCTTACTATTCCAAAAGAATACACTTACTACAGGAGAATGTAATACTAAGAAAATTTGCACTTTAAGATGTCTTTTCTGGGGAGACAGAAGAAGGGCTCACAGGGAAGGAATCAGATAATGTATTTCATATAAGGAGGATCCAGTCCACATCTCACACATCCTGCAGTTACATCCTGCACATCTCAGTTCCATCCTGCAAGTCAGTGTTATCTAAACATGGTGATAGTTAGCAGATATCTATGAATTTGTATTTCTTCATTTCCTAATGCCTCAGAAGAATACATTTTAAATTTATGCAGTAGTGACAGTAGTACTGACCAGAACTGACTATAAGGATGGATACAGTTTGTCTATTTTACAGTGTGTGGGAGATAAGTCAAATCCTTCTTGCAGTCTCTCTATTGCACTCCCCCTTGCAAGTGCACAAAAATGTGCATCAATGCCCTGCAAATTCACCTACCTATCACAAAATTATTGGAAGCCATGGCAAAATTGGTATTTCTGAAAGAAGAAATATTTTGTAAGTATTTCTCCATTATCTGTATAAAAGTTTTGTGCTTTCATAGCACTTCTATCTCTAAATATCTTTACAAATACTAATCAGCATCAGGTGTTTGGAAATAGAAGTTTCCCACTCCAGCAGAACTTTGTCTGCTGCAACACTGGGGGCTGGAGACAATCCCACCTGGGGCTGTGGCTCCTGGGACTCCGGGTACAGCTGCAGTGAGCTGATCACCTGTCCAGTAGCTGAGGTTTGCCAGGGCTTTGAATGCGGTAAAGACATTCATGTGCCTATCTGGTATCTGTGTTAGACTGGGAGAAGTCGCACACCCTTGACAAGTAAGTATGTGAAGGCAGGGCAGCTTTTAGCACAAAGCCACTGACTGAATGGAAACAATGCCTGGCTCATAGTGGTAGAAAAATATGCTAGTGGTGACAGGATTCATGAGGAGTGAAATTTTAAAGTACACAAATACTTATGAGTAACAGAGAAAGAATTTCACACACCTCACTGAGTCCACCTCAAAAGTCCAGATTCAGTTCTAGCCTCTATCAAAATTCAGGGTGAGATGCTCTGAAGTAGAAATTTGGGCCAGTGTTTATTTTTTTAGCTATTATACACATTAGGGGGACAGTGCAGCAGTGATGAGACTCAGCTGCATATTTCAGGGATCACGTTAGTTCATCCTGAACATAACACTGCTCCCAGCAGAATCATTCATATAATTTATTAGAGTATCATCAACATATTTCCCTGCAGATATATAAATCCTTCATGTCAGCAATCACAGTACAAGTAATTAATACTTTTTATCCTCAATCTCCAGAGGGAAAAACTGTCAGTGAAAGATTAGCAGTGTAGTAATGTAAAAATACATTCTTGGAGTTCACTCGATTGATCTTTTACACACCACACTGTGCCTAATACTTTGTGTGCATTAGCATATGACTACTTATTAAAAGAATGCATTGGTCTTTTCAAAGACCCTTTCATCAACTTTCCTCTGTCACTACCAGAGCTTTTTCTGTGTGCAGTAACTACGTACATGTCAGTTATTACAGTAGGTAACTTTATACTACATTGGTTTGGACATTCAGTAAACTGCATTTGATTTTTAGCAAATGAATGCCCTCTGTGGCATAAGCTGTAGCTGCAGGCAAAATTCATGAGATAGTAACTATTGCTGCTACCTGCGATGTTGTTTCTAAAGTAAAGCATTGGCTTCTACTTCTAAAATTAAATTGAATATATTTTGTTGGTTTTGGCTTCTGTTGAACTAGAATGCTGTGTAAATGTTTATGGACTCTGTGCTTAGTAAATGTATTAGAGTAGATGGTGATGGATGCAACAATGTTGGTTCACTATAATTGTGAAACGTGTGCTCAAACTATGCTGCTAACACTTCACAGTGTGAGACATTACACTGCCAAACCTGGGTACATTGTAAAGACCTGGAATTATATTAAGAGCTGTTTGTTGCTTTATTGTTATGTGAGATGTTTACCCTTAAAAAAAAAAAAAAAAAAAAGAAACCACAAAAGCTCATTAGAGTGTGAGTTAGTATTTAGTTTCTTAATTTTATTTTGTTTTCTAGCTCTATAAAGGCTCCTTTAAACATGTAGTGGGGCTTCTGCAATGTAAAACAATCTCATTATCTGTATTTCTCTTTTAATGAACCTTTTACTGACCCTTTAATTTATTATGGTCGTGGACTTATGAAAAGAACTTTTTCTTAAACTGCACTTTATTTATACATGCATATACATATATTTGTCTATATATCTATGTATTATCAATATAGTTGTATGAACATACATCCCCAAATAAGCTTTTCAGAGACCTTGCACATTTAAATATTTTTGAATATTGAATTTTCCCACAAAGGAAACAGAGGTATTGTTTTTGTCTCTCCTTTTTTATGTAAGCAAGTCTCCCCGTGAATCTCAGAAACCCATTCGTTTTACATAAATATACTTTATAAAGACTTGAAAGAGTTCACAGAACTGGGGAAGGCTGAAATGAAGAGATAGAGAGTGAATACAGCGAGAACCTGTAAAATATTTTTCCATTAACTTAATTCTACAATTTAGTTACTAATCATAATTGTTCTAATGTATAATTATTCTATGCACTTCAATTAACAATTGCTGTTAATTGCTGAAAGGTATTTTTGTATGTGGAGTTTTGTTCCTCATCCCAGTTGTACCCATAGCATGAACTGCGTTGGTTTATATGTACTTGAGGATTCCAGAGATGCAGAGATGTACTTAAGCAAAAATCCTTAATTGTACTTCCTTATCCCCCTATGTATTCTGTTCCAGTTTTGGAGTCGAGCCTCACAAAAGTCCCAATTTCTACTTTTAATTATTTAATGAGTTATTTCTGATCATTTTATCTCCTACACAGAGCATTTTGAGAAATCTGTATCACTGCCTCCTTGTCAAATTCCACACACGATCTATGTCAAATTAATTGAACTAATACATCTTAATGCAAACATCCCTAAGGACAGTCATACACCCGAAAGAATAAATAAGGCACTGGGAGGTGGTAAGTATATTAAACCTAAGTCAGAAGTCATTTTAACAATTAAAAAGTCTGATGCAAGTCTGGAAGATAGTGTTTTCTCTTAGAACACAATTATTATGGAATCAGATACTCAGTTTGAAACTCAGAACTGAATACCTGCAGACTGTCACTAGACTGTATTTTGAATAGAATTTTGTAAAAACAGTTCCTTACCTTTAGTAGGAAACAGTTTCCTATCAGCCCTTCACAGTTTGGGATTTCTAAAATCTTCATATTGAATAAGAATATTTGGCCATCACTTTCCTCAAATTACTCTGTGATATTATACTCTGACATAGCCACTTCTACTCGCTCTGGATTATTTGCTTTAGGAAAACAAAGTAAAAAAAAACCAAACAACTGAATTATGTAATTTACCTCTGGGATTAATTTTCTTTACTTTCTATAGAGATAGGAGTAACATGAAGGAGTCACCTGGGTATTAGGAAACCAAATGACTTTCCTCCGATGTTCATAACAGACGAGCTGGAGTTACCATTTTCTGTATACTCAGTGGCTTCTCCATTTGAAATGTACTTCCAAACCTCAGCTCCAAAACAACATGTCCTTCTCTTTGAAAGCTCTAAGAAAGAAGTGTTGATGAGTGGATTGGAATATTCCTAATTATTTTCATCGTCAATCCAGCTCTTAGAGTAGTTTCCATTCTTTCTTCATTTAGAAGCATGGAACATACCACACTCCATGACTTCCATTAAAGTCAGTGCTTGAACTATTAACGTTTGTCATGTTTTTGTCTGCAGATCTATTAAGACCATTTATTACTATATGCTAATCTAATTCCCATACTGGAATTCAGTGTCAGCAGAGGTCTGTAGGACTCCAGTTTACACTAGAGAGTGCCAACACTAGAGAGTGGACAGCTGGATTTGGGCTGGTGATGCCTGAACTGTTCATGGAGCACATTCCACAGGTCCTTTCCTCCAAAACCCTCCAAGCAGGATAAGCGAGCTGCAGAGCAGGTTCTTTGCCTTTGAGGATCAGATACAGCCTGCTGGCTTTCAGCTGGATGTTTCCATGTCAAGATTATTTGTGCTGTTTTTTGGTAGTAGTGTTAGAATCTGTCTATCTAGATGGGAACTTGATGGGTAAAAGCTATGGGAGACAGCAATTTCCTTGTATCTTCATTACAACCTTTGGAGGTTTCCTGATGCAGTTGCAGCAGAATCCACATTATTTGACTTGATTACAACAATTCAGTTCATAAATTCATTCACTTCTTGCTCTATTATACTTCTTTTTTTTAATCACAATTTGAAGGCAAAACATTACCTGCTGCAAAATATGGATATACACTATATTGGCCTCACCTGCACAACTTACCTGTATCTTTTTCTGAAAGTGTTACAGTGCAATGTAAAAAATAGAATTTTCTTTCATGACTTCTCCATTTTCCAATTAATTTCTCAAGTAATCATGCCAGTCTTGGTCTTCTCTAAACACAGTACAGTTTATTTGTCTCTAAATTAATTTTCATGGCAATGACAAGATCCCATTTTTTAATTAAAAAGCAGAACTTCGCCAATATCTGTTGCCTGAGTTTCTGCAACTGAAAATCTACAATAAAATACAAGATATTCTAATTGTTATCCTGGCAATTTGTAGAACACAAGAATGAAAACTCTTAAGTAGTAATTCAGCTATTTCAATTATATTGAAAAGTGTGAAATAGAAGATTCTAAGTAACCCCATCATTTGTACAAGTAAACAGGATCTTCAAGGTTACCAAAACCAAAATGCTTTTATTTATGATTTTAAAATAGATGAATTCATCATGAATTTAAAGGCTTTCTCTTTGTGTTACAATCGAGAAAAAAAGACATTGTTTAAGTAAGCTCAAGGTTGAGTACCAAAACAATTGAAGCCAGCACATGTAAAGTAATGCCAACACTGTTCTTATCGCACAATGGTACTAAAAACAAAAAACAAACAAACAAAAAGCTTTAGTATTTCATGGAACAAGAGGAAAAATTGGAGCTGTGGGCTAGTAGCCTTTACTTGGCCTTGGACTAGTAGCTTTTAGTGGGAAAGCTCATGAAGCCATTAGCTCTAGGTGCTCTAATAAGAAAGAAAATACTGTTCTGAGTAATTCATTAGATATGGAACCATTAAAGAAGCATTTGGAGATGAGGCTTCTACCAAGTAAAAATATTAAAATATCTTTCACTAAAGGTAAAAAAGGCTTTATGCTACCATATGGTACGCAATACTCTCTGACAAGCATTTTGTAAATATAGGTACTTCCCTTGAAATTTCCTTCCTGCATAATTTGTGAAGATGCGCAGTTAATGATGAACATTCATCCTGGAGCTTCTAAAATTCATGTGTATGTATGTGTATCTGCTATATCTCCCAGATTTCACACCTAACTCCTCCTACGGCCAAAATACTATAAAATGGGTAGTGTAAATCTTTTGTTAAAGGTCATCTTTCTCATTTCTGTGACTGGTAGATATCTATATGGTTTAGGTCCAGTCCTGGGCAATATGTGATCACAAACCTCTTGCAAGGGCTAATTTTTTCATCACAATTATTATTTAATTAGTGTGATTTTACTTCAGTCACTTGACAAAGAACCCATGTCCCATTTAAAGGATACATGGCTCACCTACAATTCCTCCTTCTGACACGGACAACAGTTAGTTGCATACAGTGGGCTGTGTTCAACAGGTTTGACCATCATCCATGAAAACTTGCATAAATGCTTCTTGTTGCAGTCCTTTTGCCAGTATATCACGTTCCTACGGTTTAGATTTGCCCCAGCACATGCATCATACCACCAGCCTCCCCCAGGAATACCATTGTGTTCTAGTTTGGCACAATTCTGAAAGTAATTGTCATTGTCTCTGTCTTTGGTGGTGAACTTCTGGTTGTCGTGGAGGTAAGCTTCTGTGTCCAGAGTTAGAGCATCAGTAGCATTGCCTTTGTATAGGCCAACCCTGATTCGGTATTGAGCTTCTTCATCTTCAATACGGAATGGTTCGTACTGTCCCCATTTGATTTCAGCATTTAGGTCTACAAGTTTAACTCCAAGTACATATTGCACAGAGCCGCCAGTTAATTGATGCATGTACTCATTTCCTAACCAGTGGTTGTCATGAACAGAGCCAAACCCATATTTGTAATCGTGCCACGTTCTATCAAAGTCGACAGTACTGTTGGCTGTAATGTGCTGGATTACTGTCCAGCCACCATCCTGCATGTTACAAGAGACAACAATTGGGTCTTCTTTTGGTTGGATGATGTAAAGACCATCTCTGGAATTTCCTCTGGAGTGCTGAAAAATCTCAAAACAATCCCTTAGATAGTCTAAGTAGGGGGGAAAAAAAAAAAAAAAAAAAAAAGAAAAAAGTTATAAATTAAATTTCTGTTCAATTTTTTTTTTTTAAACTCTGCCCTCCAGAGTAAGTGCATCATTGCCTTGATCTGGCTGGAAACTGAGTCAGACTGACTTCAGCCCAACTGAAAGGCATGCAGTTGGCAAAAAAAGGATGATTTGAGGGCAAAACACACTGGAAAGTTCCTGAAAGGTGTTGTTATATTTTGTAATACAGACGTATGTGATTTTATGTATGGTAGAAGTATGATTGTAAAGCCAAAATGTACAAATACACTCTTCCTCCAGTTGAAATAGTCCCTCACTTGCTCCTAAGAGGCATGTGATTATACTAGCAAATACTTGTAATTTGTATTTAACAAAGAATTTTTAATTTATATTTAACGAAGACTTAATCATTTTATGTTTCTATTGAAAAATTTCTTAAAGATCACCTGTGATGTAATATGACAGTTTTTCAGAGCTAGGAAATTCTAAGCTCGGTCCTGTCGATAACTGATAGGAATTTAGATACTGTATTTAGAACTCAGTTGCTTTGTTTTCACCAGAAGCATTCTTCTGGAAGGCTAGAATATTTCAGGGAGGCACAGGTTTTTTTCAAAAAATTGTCAAAAAGCAACAAAGGAAAAATATTTCCAAATATAAAAATAATAATAAGCTCAGAAAAAAAAAAAAAATACTTTTCCGTGATAAAAGCATTGACCAGAGGCTCCCTGCTAATCCTTTACTGAACACATTCTTCCCTGGTTATACGCTGTCATGCACAATGAGGACAGCTAAATTTTTAATCAGCCTTTGTTTAGTTAGGGTGAATTCTGTTACGCTAAAAATGTTCTGTTATTATTCTGTGTAAGATAAATCTTCCGGTTCTCAATTGTTTTAGAAGCTTTTCAGCTGCAAATTTATCTCCTGGAATGTGAATTAAATTTACACATTGTACTGCAGATGGCCTTACTTGATGCCTCTGATTTATCCATAGTCTTTTTAAAAACATTTCTGCTGATGAATTCAATGATTGAACTTGCAGCATTTCGTTTCCGTTAATCTAGACTTCCATCTTTGGATTTTTGTAACTGGTAAGTCCTAACCTTGAAGTAAAATCTGGAATTTCATACTTTATTTTTTATCCCATCAGTATTACTTAAGAATATCTGATTATTTTTTTTCTGTAACATTCTGGCTCTTCGTATTGACATTCCTCTACATTACGTAAAGAATGGAATTTTTTCAGTACATTCCTACTATTGTTTCAGTATACTTAATAATACTAATACTTAATAAGTACACACTTAGAAGCAAACATTCCCAGACTCCTTTGACTTTACTGTTTACTTTTCTACCTAAGTCATCGCCCTTTTCAGCTTTTACTGAAATTACAATGCCTTCTCTGATTTAATATCAGGGTATGAAGAACTGTAATGCAGACTCTGAAAAGTCCAGCTGGACTAAACTTGTTGAATACTACTATGCATAGTATCCTCACTGTGTTAAATATAGCCTTTTATATCTGATATTCAGACATTTTCTGGTGCTCTAAGGCACTCAGGGCAGATTTACAGAAGCATATAGGCTTTCTGAGGTCTTACTTCTAGGCTTTTCATTGCCAAACAGAATCTCCAGACATGAATAAAATACTTTGTCTCATTACTATCTGCAAGAAATTATCACACATCCTAAAAGAGAAAGACTTCAAATGCAGTCACATAAAAGCTGGACCACAGTTTTCAGAGCATTCCTCTGGTAGACAGTCTGACTCCAAATCTGATCCGGCAAGTTTAGAGAATGGCCATTTAAGTAGAGAGAGGTCTTCAATCCAGCAATACACACAGTGACACTTGTATTTACCCAGTGAATGTTATTCATGCAAAACAGAACAGCTTCTATCAACCACATGAGAAAACTATTCAAGCTGGTTGTTGCAGAATTAATTTAAAAAGTGAATTTTATAGACCCTCAAATGCCAGCAGTCAAAGGAGGAAACTAAACCAAATACACTACTCACTTTGTCTGCATTTTATGTGGGATTTACTCCAGCAAATGTATTAGAAAGCCTACCAAGTTGGACCTTGCAAGCTAGGTAGGCAGGCAATATCTCTATTAGTTATAAGTATCAATGGGGTTCAGGTCCTGATGTGACAGATGTAATCCAGACATGACTGTCATGACTGAATAATTCTTAAAAGGCAACAAAATATTTTTTAGAAAAATATTTTTAACTGTTAATTCCTCTTGAATTAGGTCAGCTTAGCAAGAGATTTGAAGATTTTGAACTTTGGGACAGGACACGTTCCTATTTCAAAGTACTGTTGCAGAGCAAACTTTCAAATATGCTGAAAACATTCCACAAAGCAATACAGTAAAGCACCGCACACACCCAGATTACTCACTCACCCTTCATGAGTACCTTTATCATTGATGTTAGCCAGTCTGTCATAATGTCTTTGAGACAGAAGGTGGGCATTAGCTAAGATCACTGCCTCTTTGGTGGTCACCAGCACAGTGCAATGGGAGAAGAAGATCAGAAGAAATCCCGCTGAACTCTTCAATAGCATCTTTTTTCAGAATCAGCCCTCCTGCAACAGTCCACAGCTATAATACAGACTGCAACTGAAAATGGAAACGTTTATGACCTTTAGTACAGTTCTCTCTCTTTTAGGAGAAAGGTATTGAAACACCTGGTTTCAGTGAGAGCCTCTGTCAAAAATGGCTTCTTCCATCTTTCAAGTGTATCTCCCTTTCCTGATGTTTCACAGTACTTCCAGCTGGTGGTTGTTCTGACATGGAGCCCTGTGTTGTATCACTTACACTGTACCTAGAACAACCTAATTATCTGTAACCAAACGTAACAGAAAATAATGTAATGACATACCTTAGAAGGACGTCTTACATCTATCAGAACTGAAGTTTGCTTATTCCCCATGTATGTGAATAGTATTGAAGCAGAGGCACTGATGGACAAATTGGCACAATCAGGAGCACTAGCTCTTCCAACTCTCTGAATTTCAAACAACACTCAATCCCATGCCTTTCTAGTACCATGAATATTCCCATACACTGAAGAATTCACTTCAGCAATTCTGGACTTGATTTTGGATGAATTTCCATCCATAGCTATAAAGAACAGGTCACAGGCTTAACTCACAGGCTTAAATCAGATCTGGAAAAAAAGCTCAATAAACAAAACAAAAAGGAACTCTTCCACTTTTCTTCAATCTCAAGACACACAGGGGTTCAATATTTGGAATCAAAAGTGCTTTGAACCTCATTCTGTCCTCTTTTTTGGGTTACTTCTTTAGTAACTCTTCATCCAATACAGAAAGAAGTCTCAGGCTGTTATTGGGGTCCTCACCTAAACACATTCCAGTCTGAATGAAGTATTTCTATATCAGTGAAAGCTCAAACTGAATCGGAATAACATCTCCCATGCTCTCCAAGGACAAATTTGCTTAAAATTTAGCCAAAGCCTTTACATCATATATGGTTGGACTTATAGGTCATTTCCAACCTTGTGGTTCTAGGATTCTGTGATTAAGGCTGAATATATATCTCTACCAAACAGCTCTTTGGTCAGAGCATATTTCCTGCCAGTGTCAGCACAGAGCCTACACAGGCCAGCTCCTTTCTCCACAGTGGTTTACACTGCAATAAAGCCACACTCCTTATGAATCTAAAGATTCAGCAGCAGATCCAGTAAAACAGTTTTCCAGAGTGAAAAAGCATTGAACACGTTTTTAAAAATGTTCAAAATATATCACTGTAATAGAAGTCAGGCTTGAGAATTGGTTTTTGTACTTATCAGGCAGAAAAACAGCAAAACAGAATTTGCTTATTCTACTTACGGCAATACAGTAATAATTCTGATTTACTATTAACATACAATTTCCTATTACATCCAAAGTTGGTTATTTGACATTGAGATACTATTAAAAAAAAAAAAAAATTCTGCACATGGTTTCCCCTACAGTACTTAAGTTCTGTTATGTTTGCATTTCCTACTGTCATGTACCCCCTTCACTGAAAGCTTCTATTATTATTTTTAAAATTATTAGAAATGACTGTAAATCTAAACCTATCCCACCAACATTATAAAACATTAGGAAATCTGTATTCAGACCTAAAGCTTCCAGGTTAGCTGTTTCCTTCTTCTAGCATTTCTGAGCAAGTCAGTCCTTTTTCTTCCCTCACATTTACTGAGTCCATTGAAATAATTTACAGATTCAATTTGTTCTAGAATAGAAATTGGTATTATAAGTTATTAAGAAAGCAACTGAGGAAAACAGCAGGAAGATACCTTACCTCTTACAGTGAAGCTTGACAAAGAAACAAGTGCACACAAATGTATGAGCTCATACTCTACAGTTGTACTTTGCCTGCTACTCAAGTTCAGGTGAATAAATCAGCTCCAACACACTATCTCAAATGTAGAAGTGCAGCAAAATTGCATCTTCGTTATTTCACTCTGGTGGACTTTGCTCTGACATATTACATCTGCAAGTAAGAATATATGAATCATAAAGAACAAAGTTCTTCCATAAGGATTAAAATAACAGCATAACTAAATTAATTACTTAGATTAATAAATAGATCAATTATTTTCCCAATTAATGAATAAACATAGCAAAGAAATTTTATTTCAGAAAATTACGTATGTTGTTTATACACCTGAAGTTAGATGCTGAAAAGTACTACATCATTTTTGCACTGGTAAATCGACGAGATGCTGTATTGCTAATCACATTTAAAATCCTATAGTCAACTTGTTTTTAAAGCATAAGGAAGAAATCAATCAAACTGACCCCAAACCATCTTGTTCCTTCAGGCCCATTCACATCAAAGCATGAAATTAAAACATAAAGCACTGCTTCAAAGCTATAAAAAGAGAAAAAGCAAAAGCAGAACAGGCTGGTCAATAGGTTTCTATTTTAGTTTATTTGGATTATCAAGTGTTGATTAACATTCATTTACATCAAAAAGGTAGTGAAGTAGATGAATTAATTGTCACCGTATTTTCTTGTATCTGAAGGTTGTGTTATCTATCTGAATGACTTCCAGATGACATCTAAACTAGAGCAAGATGAGCCAACACATTTGTACTCTTTGATCCAACCTGCAGCCCAGTTTGAACACTTTCTACTCTGAAAAAAAAAAAAAAAAAAAAAAAAACAATTAAAATGTGGAAAACATGTAAGTCCTGTGTAAGTTTTACTCGAGGATTTGTTCTATGTGTAATTCCTGTTCAATTATTCATTCTCAGTGAAATCACAACATATGCAATATATTGCAACAATGAAATACATACATTCAACAGAATGTATTATGAAAGATTTATCTATAACATTTAAAACTCATTGATATTTCTTTTCATTTTTAAAGAACAAATAACACTTACTATACATGTGAATGACCACAAGGAGTCAGAACAGTACCTTTTCTCTGGCACTGGTCAATCACAGAGAAAAGCTGAAGAACACACATTCCATGCTCATTGCATTATCACAGATTTATAGAATTGTTTGACGCTTAAAGGTCATCCAGTCCCCTGCAAAGAACAGTGACACAGCTAGACCTGGTTGCTCAGAGCCCTTCCCATTCTGACCTTGAATGTCTCCAGGGATGGGGCTTCCACCACAACATATTTAACAAGTAATGCACAAGTAATTGCTCACCACTCCCCAGATGATGCCAAACTAGCCCCCTGAGCAGCAAAGAGAGAGATCATGAACTCCCAACCCCTTCAAAACTCTTTCCACTTGATATCATATGGTATAGAATATCCCTCTGGCTTGTTTAAGTCAGCTGTCCCAATTCCATTCTCTCCCAGCTCCTCAGGTCCCTCACTGTGACTAGCCTTGGCTCAGTAGGCAACTATAAACATCACTGTTACCAACATTGTTTTTTTCCTAGAACCAAAACACAGCATCATGCCAGACATTGTGAAGAAAACAATTCCATCTCAGTTGAAACTAAGATACTGATATTCATGTTTGATGTATCTAACTTCTGGTTAGTATCAAGCTTTATAGGTAGTGACTAGAGTATGAAAACACTGTGCTGTATCTTATTAAATAATACTTTGAAGGCATACAGATCTTGCTGAAATAACATACTAAGGAAGGGCAGAAGGTGTCTTCCCACTCTGACAATTTAAAATATACTTCAGAAAATACCACTGACTTAAGTGGTGGCAGGTTTCCTATCGCCTAGCTATAAACTGGGATATATGTTTGTTTTGTGCTTTTGATTTCTTCATTTTCCATCACTGTATACCTCCTCCCCTTTTTATTTACTACCTTCCCCTTTGCTTCTCTTTGATTTCCACTCTTCTATCTCAACTGGAAGAGTAGAAATGAAGTGGGAAGCATTTAATTAGAAGAGAGCAGGTAACAGCACCTGTTTATTTGTGCTGAGAAAGGCAGCTATTTATGTACCTGAAAACTTCAAACAACAGAAACCATTACATATTACACCTCAGTGGGCATGAGTGACAGGCTGGGTGAGGGGACTCTGCAAGGTTCAGGGAATGTACCATACCTGGTGTGCTTGGCTGTGTTCCGCTGTGAAACGGGCCAGTCACAGGGCAATTCTGGCATACGACCTGTCCTGCAGCTCTGCCAAATGAACCACCTTTCCCTAGCCTTTTGGCTATGTCCTCAAAGTGCTGGGTTTAATTTCTGTAAGTGAGTAATTAGGCAGTTTTTAGTTAACATCATTTTCTAATTATATTAACAATTATACGTTTGTTCCAGCAAATACTGTAGTTGTTCTGAGTATCTATGATATTCTGCTCTTGGTCAAGTATTTTGAGAACATTTTTTTAGTCCTGAAAATTATGTAATCATGGCAAGTTAGGACTACTTTACATTGGTAAGGTTTTGTGTCATATACAGGTTTTAAAATAATCATTATTGTATTGACTTGTTAGCCATATTAATTAAGATATTTAATGTCTCAACCCAGTGACCGCATATTCCTTCCCCATAATATGCTGACATTTCAATTATTCCTCTGAATCTGCTTGCCTTTAATTGGCAAATATTATTTTAATTATTCCAATGCAACTCTTATTTTTAAGTTATTTTTAAATAGTTCTGTTTATTTTAACAAGTATTTAAACAAATAACTTACCTTTAAAAAGGGAGAATTTGACTGAAACTGAACAACTTACTTCATCAGGCTCTGATGTTAGTTGCAAAGACAACCTGGATACCACAGGACAGCTAATTGGCCTGTTTTTGTAAGGGATGTGAAAAGCATTCCTATCTGACCAATACAGTGAAGTTATCAGTTCCAGCAAGGGCAAAGCAGCATTACTTCAAAAATTAATTTAATTTACCTTAGGAGCTTGGGTACAAATATCAGCAGGTGCCAGTAAATATTATGGCACAGAGTGTGGCACAAGCTAGAAACCTGTGTATCCAGGTACTTCAAAAGGCTTCAAACAGGGGATTTATGGATCAGTACTGTTGACAGAAACATGTGCAAATGCTAACTTTCACATAGCTATCTGTTCAGCAGAACAAGGAACTCAAGGGAGAAAGTTCTAGCAATGCAAACCACATATAAAATATAAAAAAGATCTCACTGAATAGTTACTTCAAACAAAAATTTTGATATACAGAAGACTGCTCAGCAGGGCAGGTGGAAGGAGACAGGATGACCCCAGTCTTTAGAGACACTTCTGTGCTTTTGAACAACTTGAACTGGATTGCTCTGCAATCTTGACTAAACGCACTTTTGTATCTTCAAATAGGAACAGTTAAAAAAAATGTTTTTAACAATTTTTACTTGCTCCTCTGAGCTGGCAATGGCATGCAAAACATGAGATTGCCTAACAAAGCAGAAACCAGTTATTTTAAACTGCTGAAATTCATGACATATAACACCATTTTCAATACAGCTTCTAAATTTTTTTTATGTATTCATTATTTGCGAGATGAACCGTTATTTGGAGAAATGAAGACATCTATCCCTGACTGAACATAACCCATAGAAATGCTTGCAAGCCCCAGATGACTCCAGTGGAGCATACCAGGAACCTGTTATTTAAAAAGGGAGAAAAACAAGAGAATCAAAGGATAAATAAATAAATAAATACATAAATACAATAAATCCCCCCCGCCCCCAGAAGGTTAATAAGGCAGTGAAAAGTATCCAGCATAGATTTATCCAGAAAGAAAAATATTTTTTTTTCTATTCGATAGAGTAATGGTCACTCTGGAAAACAAGATAATTAAGTAAAACGTACAATACATTAAGTACAAATATTAAGTATATTGTAGTTGAACATTCAAACTTAACATACAAAAAAATCCCTTTACTCTGGAATTTTTAAGGTTAGACATACATTTGAGAGGGATGCTATGGACAAGCTGAATTCAGTAACGTGCAAATCTTGATGTCAGTACAACAGCTTTACCTCAGCTATCTGATCAAAAACAAATAAAAACAAGAACAACAATAAAACAAGTTAAATTAACAGAACAAATATTCTATTCAACAGACAATTTTTAGATTCAAATCAGTTAACTATACTGTTCAGTTTAAAACATTGTAGCCTAACCTTCAAACACGTGAGTTTAAAAATGACTTTCTCATCTGGGACAAGAAGCAGCCGGGAGCTTTGTCATGGCAACCATTTCATTTCCAAACGGACTCCGTGACTTCTGTTGCTCTCCAGCAACCTTGTAAATGGAATAGAACAGTGAAGAAAAACAAGAAAAGGGAGGAGCTTTTCAGAGAATCACACAACCAGCAAGGTTCAAAAAGACCTCCAAGACCATCTACTCTAACCATCCACCTATCACCAATGCTTAGTATGCTTTATATTGAAGTCATCACATATAAAAAGGTGCAAAACAGCTGTATTTATGAAAGACAACACACACATTTCTTGTAATACTGATTTAAGATTGAATGAGGCAGAATTCTTCAGGGGCGTTTCTTTCTTACTAATAAAGCAGGCTGAAAGCGGCAGATTACTATTAGAGTCAGCTACTGAGATTTAAGTTGCCCAATGTGTCTGTGGCTCCCCATGAAAAATGTCATTTCCTTCCCCTCCCCAAAAGGAAAAACTGTAAATAAGTTGGTTTTTTAAATGTTTTCAGTGAACTCTGGCTGAGTCTGTATCTTTCTGATGTTCTCTTCAGAGTACAATTGCAGGGTTTGAAAAATTCTACAGTAAAGTAAGACTCAAACACCTTACAAAGAAAGCACTGAAACACGATCAGATTTTCCCATGACAAATGACCCCTCCACCATTAGCTGGCTACCCGGTGATAGGAATAATTGGTTTCTAACATTGAAGCACTTGAAAGCACAGCTGATGTATACAATTATTTCAGCCAGCACGCGTTGAAAAGCACTTGTAGATCAATTTCAACAAGACCTTTGTACTCCTCATAAAAATGAAGGGCAAATGTATGTGGAAAAAAAAAAACCTGTGTAAATAGCACGTGAAGAGAATCGGTAGGGAAACAAACTGAACCGAAAAATGGAATTTCAACAGTACAATGAAATCCAAGAACATTGAGTGGATTACAAGATGAGGTTTCTCAGGGAATATCGACCAAGTGTCTTTAGATTCACACATGTCATCTGTCAGGAACCCCTACAAAGCTACTGTAGAAATTATTTTCATGAAAGGACTGTCTAAATACGTTCATCACATATATTTTGGTTCAGTTCTCTGAAGGCTTTCAGTAAATGTGACAGTGAATGATACACACATTCCACCATGCCTGTCTTTTAATAAGCATTCCACCTCTCATTTGAGGTCCTTCTCTTGGTAAAACAATATTTACTATTGAAAAAAATATAATCTCCTGAGGAGGCTTAATCTTGGTCCTAAACTTAGGCATTCCTTATTTTCATGGTGTTTAACTACCACAGTGAAGAAATGAGGCCTGTATGAATGCAACTCTCATGTTTCACACCTGTCAAGTTGAAGCAATTTGAACCACATCTGTAATGTGGATGATCAAATGTGGTAGGAAATCAAACATTCCTCCTTGCTCCCCAAAATTAGTACCAATGTTCAAAATTTGATTTTATTCTGATTCCAGGTATGTGAAATCTTACTGATTATTTCCCAGGATTGTCCTTGCATCTACATATGATCTGCAGACCCATGCCTTGCTGGTCAGCCTTTGATCAGCCTTTGAGTTTGTACATCTTGCTCTCCCAACCTAAACTCAAAAGGAAATGCTACACATGTGTACTGGAAAGTTAGAAAAAGGCAGGCAGGAAAAAAAAAGAAAAAAAAAATCCTTAAAAGATACCAGAGAGCTTTTCTAATATTTTTAAAAAAATATTCATTTAAATCATCTTGAACTTTTTTCAAATTCATCTAACCACATTTTGTATTAATTTACAAAGCTGTACTCAGTGTTAAAGAAACAGTTCAAAATCAAATTTTGGTCAAAAAATGACATGAAAGGTTTTCCTTCTTCTGCATATTCACCGCTTGCCCTTGACTGAATGACAGACTTGAATTTTTATTCCTATCAGCCACGCAGAACCAAACACTTAATAAAAATGAGCTCAACTCCAATCTGTTTCTGTGCATCATCAATAAAAGAGATAACTAGTTAAGTTCCACTTGCACAGAAAATTATGTTGTCATTAAATCTTCATAACCTTATTGGAAACAAAGCATTACACAAGTCGCTGCCGACATAATTTGAAGGAACAATACAGTTCTAAAAGTAGACAAGCATTTCCTGAAGTATCTTTAATATTTCTGATGCTAGAGCATTAATAATTTGATATGGATTTTGAAACAAAAAGAAACAAACAAACAACAACCCTATTTGTGACTTCAAAGAGCCTTCCACATTTCACCTGGAAACAGGCTAAAACTAAATACTATTCCCACAGAACTTTTTTGAGTACAGTACCATCACACAGTACTGAGTTTCATACATCTCTTAAGATATAAGGTCCTGCCTTTATGGACACTGAAATGGTTAAAGACTTTTGATGTTCATTTTTTTCCTCAACTGATATTAATTGCTTTTTGGCACTTAAGGAGTAATAACACATTTTTTCTTTAGTCAGTCCATAAGCAGACTGTGAGCAAAGTTTTTTGTTTTTTTTTTTAATTTTTGCAAATACAGATATTTTTAATATATTCTTGCAAACATATTGGAACTGAAGTTACTTCAAAAAATATTATTATTAGGTATAAGTGCTCTAACAAGTGGACAGGTGCACATTTTATAACTCACTCACACATAATTTGTATACAAAAATAAAATTCAACTTGAAATCCAGTCAATTAAAAAAAATTAAGTTTCAGTACTGCAAGTAACCCCAGGGCTGCCACCATACTTGTGTGGTTTTACAGTTCTCTTCATTTTTAAATCATTTCTCTTTTGTCCCTTATTGCACACAATATAAACAATTAGGACAACTCATTACAAGAGAAATAAAGAAATCCATACAATGCTGCACGAAATGGAAAACAAACAACTGCAATAAAAAGAAAAAAAGAACCAGAAACACCCATAATCCTGACAAAACCCAACCCAACTCCACCACTCATTTCATAGAATAATTGCAGGTACTACTTGGTTGGCAATTTTCATACAGTAGCATTGTATATGTTGACAAATGTCCAGATACAAAGGATGGTAACTGCACAACAGATGTTTCACACTATGAAAAAGGAAAAGTATTGGTGTTCACTGTTAGGAAAAATCTTCTACTTGCTTGCTTGCTTCCCAAATGTACAGGAACTGCTAGGTATTATCTGACAGAATCACAGCTGCTGATCATATGCAACTTGTACGCAATTACATACCATAACAACTAAGTGGAGATGCTTCATTTCCCCCCATTCTGACCTCTTAACAAAACAAATTTCTCCATTCTCCCTGAAGAACGAATTGAGACCTAAACAAACAAAATGAAAAAGGAAGAAATGTTCCTATTCTGAACTCTGTAAAAAGGCAAAACTTGTCATTATGATTAACTACTGAATAAAGTGTGATTAAAACAAGCTAATGCAATTTCACCGTCACACCACTGAGTGTTAAAGAAAACTAACTCACTCCTTCTCTTTCCAAAACAGCGTAACAAAACTAATTGCTCCATCTTCAAAGATCAGCTCCATGTATTTCCCATAAGTACTTCAATAAGATGCTGCTGAAAGAAGTGGTTTGTTTTTTCAAAAGCAACATGACTTTTGTTGAGCATTCCTTTCAGTAAATCCTTCTAACAAGTATATCTGAAGAGGCTCTTGTATGTACTGGATGCATTTTATTCTGTATAGGAAAAAAGATCAACTCAACTAAAACAAAACAAAACTAGCAATAACAAAATGTGCAATTTACTGTGCTCACTTTGCAAGGACAAAAACTTTCTTTCATCACCCAAAAAACAACACTGGTTTATTCCTCCTGACAGCTACTGCTGTCGTTTTAATTTGAAAAACATTAAATCCTGTGGAAGACAACTAATTTTTCACCTTCCCTCTGAAGCTACTGGAAAAAGACAATATATATATATATAAATATAAATTATATAATTATATAATTATATATATATATAAATAAAACAAGCATGCTCAAAGAACAAAATTTTGCAATTGATTTTGCATTCCTAAAAAGAGAGCAACTTTGAACAATTTTAGAAAAGGAGTGGGACTTATCCTCCCAGTGTATTTGAAGGTTTTTCTCTCATTTTTTTAAATTTTGTGCTTTATTTGGCCACAAATCATAGCAGTGATAAGATAAATACACAGCACACAAAAAAAGCAGCGGGAGCCAAGTGTTGCAAACATTATACTTGCTGTTAAGAAAGGGAAGTATCTAAGCTAAATGTTTATCAAATTATGTTGACACATGGAATGCCTAATTAACTTGACAGAACTTAAAAGTCTTTCTGACGATGGATGATTTTTTTTTTTCCTCCACAAAAGAATTACTCACAGAAACTGATCAGAGCAGAACACAGCAGTAAAAAAATGGAAAAGTCCTTGAACAGAAGTGATTAGGCAGTAGTTTAAAAACAAAATGAGTTTAGAACTTTAGACAAGCAGATACATCAAATTACATAGTAAACCCACAACTCAGTTTTGAAAGGAGGTTCGTTTCAGAACTTTACAGAAACATAAAACATTAAAGCCATCTTCACTGTGAACTATCATCTGCAAATTTGTTTTCATACTGCCTTACAATTAAGGCATCATGACACTTTGCTTCCCCACTTCCCCAAATTTTCACCCATCCCATAATCCTGCTCAAGTGACAACGTCTGGTGGCAGATATGATGGATGTGTGTGGTTGAAGGCAGGTTTGGAGAGACAGGAAACAACGCCACAGCCAAGGGATAACTCAGCACATAGTAAAACATACTGCTATTTCCCCTTGAGCATAACCCCTCATTCATTCCACAACAGACACTCATTACTGTTTAACACGTCATATAATTTATAACATTCACTACAGAGCATTAATTCAATAACTTTATACAGATACCATACAGAAGCCATGTCCTCTTCTGCTTACTGTCAAGTACAAAGCAGCTTACATACCTTAAAAATAAAGCTACACACCACAGTTGTAGCATACCGTACTTTGTGCCAAATAAAAGGTTGCAGTAGTGGCTTTTTGATATTTCAAGACAAACATGATACCACATAACAAACAGTTGTGCAAACTCAGGCCTGGAGGAGGACATAACTACCTCCTTTTTCCAGAACTACTTTTCCCTGCTTTACTGCTACTACCACCAGACTTGCTGGAAGACTTTGAAGAAAACAGTCTTGTCATGAATTCAGAGACATCTGGCAGCTCATGGTTCGAATTCAGCATGTTCATTGACTGCTCCATTTCCTGCATGAAAAAAATTAGACAACAGCTCTTAATAGCATTTTCTGTGACATCAGATCACATAGTGAACACATATAAAAATTCTCAAACACAAATGGTAACCTTCCAGAATACATGTTGCTACACATTTTTACGCAACTGCAGCCAAATGCCCAGCTACACACAGAAACATAAAACCCCAAAACTAAAAGCACTGACATACAGAAGACGTAACCATGTCTTAAGCAGCCTTACAGGGCAACTAACTGCTCAGATAAAATCGTTTTCTCAGGAAAAATAATGCCATTAAAATACTTATTTCCAGCATTATAAAATACTTATTTCCAGCATTACTTGCTTCCATTTTAGAACAAAAGCTTTTGATCAGATTTTCAGATCCATATTCCCACAGATTGTGCACTCTTTCATTTTTTCACATTTTGCCTTCCCAATTTAGTATTGTTTATGCCAAAAGTAATAAAGTTTTGAAGGGACTGGGTATTTTTATTGCACTAATTCATAATATCAAGCTATTAGCGTAAAACAGCGAAGTTTCCTTTCTTGTTTCACGAGATCATATATTTAGCTAACCTTAACGTAACTTTTGTGTTTAGATCTATAAGAACTATGGTAGCCTTTGTTACTATTATATCTATTCTAAATCTGTACATAGCAATTGTGCTTGCTGTTACAGTATTAAATTATTAATGTTCTCTATGAACAAGTATCGTGCTGATCCCATAAAAACAAGCTAGCTCAAAAAATATAATATGAGCTCTACACCCAACACAAACAAAATGAAGTTAGGCATACGCCTCAGAATTTAATAAACAGAATGTCATTAATTAAAACTGAGCTGGGAAGAAGTATTTTCTCTCATCCTTCAAAGATAATTTAAATTATAAGCAAGATTCCTTCAACTTGCAGTTTCTCCTTAAGAAGTCAGACCTGTCAGCTAATGCAAACACTGGAACTTCTCATTGTTTGTCATCAGAATAGCTTACCTACATACAATGTCAAATGAGTTAAAAAAAAATAAATTAGGAATAAATAATTTTTTAAAATTTCCAAAGCTCAGCTTGGTTTAAAGAACATGCCACAGATACGTAGCACATGTATGTATTAAAATCAGAATTAAAGCCGTATAGGTCTGGTATTTTTACCAATATGCATTATTTTATTAAATAAAAAAGGAAAAAAAAAATGGTTCAGACACCTATAAAGCACTACTGAAGACAGTGGTCATTTAGAGGAGTTTAAGCTAACCAAACCCTGAAAACGCAGCCACCCAGGACAGACAAGGAATACTTCTAAAAACAAACGATTTGGCAAACACCTTGAATCTCCATTTTGTCCTAGCCTTCTGCTATTCGGCATTTTGCATGGCAAAAGGATAATAAATCAGATAATTTAATGACTACAGTAAGATTCTGAATCATACACGCTATTGCAACATCTCAACAGTCTTGTAAGCTCCATAGTTAACGGATAAGAGAAATCCTTATCATACTCTTTGTAACACAGCTGACATTAAACGACATCTGAAAATGATGTGCTAAACTTAAACAGTGAAAAATACACTGAAAATTTTTCACACCAAAAAATAGCCCTTGAAAAATTACATTTATAGTTCTAAAGATATTTTTGAAAACAACAATCATGCTGTAATGCATTCAAAGCTTTCTAATTCAAACGCATTCAAAACTATTAATTCTGTGTTGTGCCATTTAACAGCAAACTCATTAGTCTGAATTAACAGAATTCATTATTTTAGCAGCAACATCAATAATTGCATTAATTTTGCCAACAAGACATCCTCTGAAGTCCAGTTTTAGCTATCATTTCTCTGTACCTTAAGATGTCGTTACATTTGTTCTCTGTATCCCCAAACCTCTGAACCTACTTACCCGTCTCATATCAGGATCACTGGTGTTGACAACTTTAGGCAAAAGCACAAATATCAGTAATGGAAGAACCATCATCACAACCTATACAAACACACACACACACAAAAAAAACACCAAGTATTTATTCAGCTAATGTGATGCCAAGATATTTTTATACATCCTGCCATCAAGACTTTAATTAAAATACCAAGTTCTAGAACAACTGCTTTCTGAGTCAGTAACCTCCTGTCAGAAATCCGACTGTCAGGACAGAAACCAAAAGATCCACACAACCGATATCAAACTCGGACCATTCAAGTAAACGTTTGCCTTTTAACTGCTACAATCTTGCAAAGTGTTCCTCTCTGCCTTAGAAGAACACCACGTTGTCAAAGGAACCAGGCTATGCAATATTTTCAGACAAAATACATTTAACAGATTTGCTATGCAGGGAATAAAAAAAAAGGACAAACAAAAAAAGCAACCAAGGCAAAACAAACAAAAACAACAACAAAAATAAAAACCTTACCAACACCAAAAATCAACCACCTCAGAAAAATAAATTACGCACATGTTTTGTGAATTATTTTTACTCTCCTTGTTCCAAAGAACTGCTAGATTTTGAACCGTTGCATATTTTTCCCTTTGTGTGCTGCTTGTACATACCATGGGGTTCATGAGGAAATCCGTCCATCCCCAAGATTCTCTCTTTATGAAGTATGAAGGAGGTCCAGAAGATTTCATCTGGAGTGGGTATGGCAGCCTGACGACTTCTGAGGTTTTGATGTAATTCACATATCTTGCTCTAAGGAACAAAATGTAAATAATTAAAAACACAATCTTTAATGAAAATTAATGATTATTAAATATTCCAAGCAAGGTTTTAAAAATAAACTGCAAATGAAACCATCTGGTAGGCAGTGTCAAATATGCTTCACTTTTCAGAAGCTTATTTTTCTCAGTAGAAATTATACTTTATATGATCAAATAATATTAATTTCAATATTAATTCGACTTCTGTCTACATTTTATTTCAGGATAGCTGCAGGAGAAAACAGCAAAAGCAACTCCTTTTTAACTCACTCAATTCCACTTATTTTAAGGCAATAAATATGAAAAGAAAAAAAGAAGCTGTGCTCCAGAAGCAGTGTGAAAGGAAACTGGAATATACTGTCTGATATGGAAAAAATGGATCTACAGAACTTCCTAGATTACTTTTGATGTTGTGCTGTCAGGCACACTTCCTACATCAATACAGAAGCAAATCTGGGAAGGCTCACCTCATTTTGCCTTTTGAAGTTATGTCGACTCGAACAGGCTCAAATTTATGAGCAGGAGATATAACTTCTACTACATAAGATCCTGAAGGTACATCATGAACCACAAAGCTTCCATCTGTCCTGAATTAAAAAAAAAAACATATAAATTCCACTGCATTTCAACATACTCCAATGTACTGGAGGTTGGTTTTGTTTATGTCACCAAAGAAGAAACTTTGTATCAATTTCTATTATAAACCTTTACATGATAACAACCAAAAGGAAAATTAAGATCACTCAGTACCAAGCCCAATAATGTCATTCACCGTGTCACAATACCAGCAGAAATAGCCAGTTACATTAAAGATTTCCTATCACAGAACGGCTTGTTAAGCCATTGTCTTGCTGGAGGAATAGCTTAAAAATCTAAGTAGTATTTGAAATGGTTAGATTTCTTGTGCTCAAATGATACAATGAAATTTACTTTGCTTCAGTAATTCTGCTGAAATTAAAAAATAAATAAATTGACTTCCTCCATTGTGTGGGCAGTCATTGAAACTGCAGTTTCTGCCCTTACAGCAAAACAGACAGGTTCACTTTTAATTGCTTCTTTTAGAACTAGCCCACGCTAGAAAGCTCTATCACAACAGTGAGGAAACTAAGAGCTCTGAATATGAACAAAGAAGTGATTTTTAGACAGATTGTTTTTATTTTAAAGTAACTTCAATGTTCATTGAAAATAACTGAGAAAGGATACTTGAAAGATTCAGCACAAGCTGTCATCAAATTAAAGTACAGAAGCTTGTAGGTTTCCTCCTACATGCTTCCAGAAGCTTCCAAGAAGGAAAACTTTATGTTCTCTGTCAAAAATTAATCTAAAATATACTCCTCCTAAAAATATTGCTCATAGTTAAGACCAAATAAGTTCTTCAAAAGCAAAAAAAGTAAAAAAAAAAACAAAAAACAAAAAAAAACCCTGAACATATTTGAAACACATCATGAAAACAAATAAATGAACCTCCTTAGAAGTGATTTCTGTCTTTGTATCAGCTCTCTTTAAATTCTACACGACTTTAGGGCTCTCCCACAACCAAGACAGAAACAGCAACATATAGGTTGATTTCTCTAATATTTTATGTGACGCCTTGAACCCCTAAAAGAAGCACTAACATTATCGTACTTTGAAACTATATTAAGGACTTTCTCTGGGAATTCCCTTTCAATTTTCCCATTCCAAGCAGTAGTATTTTGATGAAACTTGACTACTGTTTTTCAAAAGACTCATTTGACAAGGTAATTTCTAATTTCATGTACTGATATACAATAGCGCCATTCTCAAGAAATAAAAAAGTTGAACATTTACTTCAGTGAGGAAACTTATCAGATTTTAAAAAATGCTTGTAATAGAAAATTGCTCTTGAAATATTCAGCAGTAACCTTGCTATGTCAAATAGTTATTTCCCTCTTATTAGTAACCGAAATGTCATTAATAAATAACCCAAACTTGCCTGAGAAATGGCAAGAAATATATCTGCTGATAACCCAAATATACTCAACCCTGTCAGCAGAAGGGAAGGATCCTTCTACTCAGCCTCAAATAGCACTGTTAATGAAAAAATGTATTTCCTGTCATGCAGTTCTTACCAGCAGTGACCTACCAACCACCCAGTAAATTGCAAGTGAACAAAATACTACATATCACAGCTTGTAAGCTGCAACATACCATACTTGTGGTGGCACATTATCTACATAGATATTCATCATTAATTAATTAAACATTAATTTCTTGGCTTTGTGTTATCACATTATCCGGTGAGTCTATCACTAAATATACCAAAGTGATGTTACCAAAAAAGTTTGTTAACCAGGTTTTGCTGTTATAAGCGTTGTGTGCTTTTAGCTGAGATTATTTCCTCGCATTTCAGATAACTCCAGCTACAATTAAGTATTTAGAAACACATCAGCCCCACTGTGTTTTTATATGAGATGTAAATGTGATGCAAGACACCTGTAGCTGGGTTGAACTGCTCCATCAGATGTTATACTGACAAGATCTGTTGCGCAAAGTAAGACCTGCTGTGTTTGCCTATAAACAGATCCCAGCTTTTGCTGCAGAGGGAAAAACACAAAACAGCTGTATTTATAAACTAGTACATCTTAATCCATGTGAACTTCCTCGTTTTAATACATGATTTTAGGAACAAGATATTACACTGCACTAAAATCACAGACTTCAGAATTATCTTCGACTGCGAAATGATTACCGTTCTTAGTTCTTAGGGTTATTTCTTAGGGTATCTTCTGAGTATTCCCAGAACCCCAGCTGATCGGAATATACTCACTCCGACCTGAGAGGACTTATATGATACTTCCCTATGCACGTGCATCATCCCTCTACGCAGCTTTTCCTGCTACTGTTAAGATTTCACGGGTACTGTTAAAAGTCCCACCATCTGCAAGGTGACTCAGCGCTGATACCTAGCAGCCCAAAAGCCCGCAGCCTCAGGCAGGATCCCCCCACAGGATCTCGCGGTCTCAGAGCGGGACGCGGGAGCGACTGAGGAGCCCCGCGGCCGCCGCCATCTTGCGGTCGGCCCCGCGCCAGGGCGGGGTGCGGGACAGCGGCCCCGCGGGACCCCGCGGCACCGAGGGACCCCCCGGCAGTGCCACCCCCCGCCCGCAAGGCGCTCACTTCAGAAAACCGATGTGCTCCTCCCCGTCCACGAGCACCCGAGCCCCCGCGATCCAGTCCTGGGGCTTCACCCCGGGCACTACGGCCCGGCCCTCGATCTTAAACCGCTCCCCGGGGCCCGCGCCGCCCGGCGACTCCACAGTCCCGGCCCCCTCCGAGCCCGCGGCGCCGGGGGCCAGCGGTGACGCGAAAAGGCAGAGCAGCACCAGCGACATGACGCCGCCCCGCGCCGACATGGTCGTGACCATCACCGCCGTTCAGGTGCCGGGGCGCATGCGCAGAGCGCGACACACCTCAAATTCCCGGGACGGCCAACACCAGAAGCACGGCGACAAGCTCTCTACGCGTGCGCAGCGTGCCGCGAGAATGTATTGGGTGCCGTGCGCTTGCGTATAGGAGAGTGAGGCGCCGACATTTTGTGTCACGCGGGCGAGCCAATAAGAACGTGAGCTGCGCGCCCGTGATACGGAGCAAAGCGGAAGTGCGCTGCTCTCTGCCGCCGCGAGGCGCTGCGTGTATGTGGGGCCGCTTCACCATACTGAGGGATTGGGGCGGGGCATCGCCCTGCGTCGCTTCTGCAGGGAGGGGGACTGTGAGCTGGTGGCACGCGGCGTCTCAGAGCGCAGGCTGGGGAAATGGCAGAGCAAGTTCCCGGTTTGTTTTTTGTTGTTTTCCTTTTTCCCCTCCAGCATAAGGCCATCTGCAAGTGATAACGCAGGACACGGATGTGAAATGAAAGAACATGAAAATCTGTCAATAACGTTAGCTTGAGGTGCTTTCCTAGAACCGTAGATCAACGCAGGCTGTTTCTGATGCTCCCCTGAAGCCTGCAGGCAGAGCGGCAGCACGAAATGCTGCCGATCGCTGTGAACAGGTTCAGTGCCAGGCCACGAGAGCTGTAATACCCGCCCTGCCCATTTCCCCTCCACATTATGTCCTGTCGTGTCACACGTACCCACTGTCACCTACACCTGCCTCCTCAGCTGTTGCTTAACATCAGAGTTAATTACTGAACTCATTAAAAATATTACTTAACTATTAAAGCATGTTTGGAGATTATGAACATAGCCCTAGCCCTCAGCTGATACTAAATGAAAACATTTTACTATGCCAGACACAATTCTGAAATCATGCCTCGTGCCATGAGAGTGGAATAATGTGAATGATGTCTCCATTACTATTCTTGAGCTGTGCTGTTCTATTTTGGATGGCACACAAAAGTTGAAACACCAGCAGTTTTGGAAATGGAAACCTATGTGTTTTAAGTGTTCTATAACTGATCAGTGCTAGAAAATAGCTTCTCTGAGTTGTAGGAGTTGGTAGTCACTTTTTTTCCCACTTCGTTGATGAAGCAGATCCTTAAAATAAGATCACCAAATAGCAGCATGTTATAGGAAGCCAGAGTGCTATTTCCAGGATGACACTGGCAGAAGATAGCATTTCATACTGGCATATCACATTACTATATTTATACGGAACTACTGGAGTAATTCTACTTAAATATCATTAAGGAGGGACGGAGATGCTCTCATGTCACAGTGTTCCTGCCCCCCAGTTTTAAGGAGTTCATCAACCATAGATTTGTAAGTACTAAATACAAAGAGTCAGAAGACTTATTTTTATAATATAGACAGTACAGTTAATTAAGTTTTAAGCCTAGTGAACCCAAATAAAAGAAAACCACGTTGGTCTGTCACACTATCTAATCCAAGAAACTTCTCTACATGCCATCCAGCTAACAAATTGACACCATTAGTTAGCCTCTTCTCTATTGTCCTTTCCTCCTGTAGAAACTCTCCCTGAGCTCAGATTTCAGATACGTATCTTTTTTGTTTTTATACAGTTTCTAATAGCTGTATGGGCACAAAACTTTTATACATGTACTTAAGCAGTCTTTCTGCTCTTACTGTGGAACTTTGCATATTAGAAGATGTACTTCATACAGATACACTGGTTATCACATTTTGAAGCGTACACAACTGAGAAAATAATTCATTAGGTGAATTACTGCCTTTTTCATTAAGATTAGCTACGTTAGCATTTGAATGGATTACAAAATGATATTATAAGCTTTGATATCATGGGGGTGTAGGCGTCTACTTTCTAGGTAAAAATAACCAAACCCCAAAAATATAGTACAAATAAAATACATGAAAATGTTCAGGTATACACTTATCAAAGCCAACTACTGTGTTTCTCAGTGCTTTATCTGGAAGGCTTTTTCTATTTCTTACTGGAAGAATTTTCACTATTAGCCAGGTTCTGGCTGTAGCTTGATGCCAAGGGAACAGGTAAAACAGCCAAGCAACAGTTTCAATTTACTTTGGAGCAATGGAACCATTTCATCAGCCTTCTCAATATGCAATCAAGAGCAACCTCCATGTTTGAGAGCTGTCTCCTCATTGAGGAGCTCACTTGACTAACAGCTACTACATAGAAACTGGCAAGTTTCAAATAGGTTCTGCCCTGCTCACAAGCACATTCTCACTTCTGTCTGATTGGGTTCATTCAACCAGCTGTCACTTTGTGCGAACCTGTCAGCCAGATGGATGAATCCCTAATGGGCTGAGCAGAGTGAAGGTCTAGACTAATGTAATGCCATCACATTGATAATACTGAAATCTGTATCTCCAGGTTCTTGTCACTTCTGGTCTTGTGTACAAATTGAAAAGCAGAGAAGACACATTAAATCCCTCTGAACTTCCTAAATGCATCACAATGCACAAGCATCACAGCTGTTTGGAAATAATTGAGTATTCTGGGATACTGGTGAATAGAAGAAGCAAGAGAGTTTCTTCACCCAAGAGAAAAATGATTTTTATACTTAAAACTTACTTTTGTGCTGAATTTTTTCCACAGTGTTAACACTAGAAGCTTACTGTATACAAGTTTGCTTGTAGTTCAGGATTAGCAAAGCATTTTCGTAAGTTTAAATGCAACTTTGAACATTTCAGTGCAATTGCTCTGAACACTTCTATTTATATAAAGCTGATAACACTTTGGCTAGTATTTAATTCGCTTTTGGAAATGAACAGGATGCTGCTAATTGACACTGATTTACTTTAATACACTGGACATCCACTGGACCACAGCCAGCAGCAGCCCAGAACCTGTTTCCTGTGTGATTCAGCCACATGCAGAGCTGTTGGCTGTCAGCAAACAAGAAGGGAGCAGCCATGGCCATCTTACTATAGTCTTATCATGTTCTCCGAGTTGGGCCCCCAGCTGCCGTGCAGGTATTGAGGTATCTTGCCCAGTATACCAGAACAGTGCCATTACACAAAAGCTCTATGGAATCAAGGACAAAGACATGACTGATCTGAAAAACAAATAAGAAGTTGATGTGCATCAGAACACCCACACTTACATCAGTTATACTGTCTTTTGAGGATAAAAATTGGTATTATTAAAAAAAAAGAAAAACAAAAACATCACAAACCAAGCACAAGAGAATTGTGTTTATGGAAGCAATCACATCGGGATCAGCAGAAGGCCACAGCCAGCTAATGCATTCACTGAGCTTTCTCCTTCACAATCAGCTTTGTGTAAATAAACGCAGAAGAATTATTCTTTTTTAAAAATTCCTACTGATTCCTATACTGAAAAGCAGCATCATTCTGCCATCTACTGGCATTTTACAGTGCTACACCAGAAGCATTTAGCAGTAGACTTCCGCAACAGTGTTCATGTTGTCCCGAAGGTATGATCCCCTGAGAAGGTCCTACTTCTGGCTTCCAGCAGAATTATTTCCTTTCTACTAGTAATAGGCATCTGAAATCACAAACAGGGTAATACCTTCATACACTCTTCATAATGCTGACATTAAGATCTATTGCCAGATGACAATTTGCTTTACCTGGTTGCAATTGATTGAACTCAGACTACATCCTGTAGAGGAACAAAATTAATTATTTTAAGTATGAGGAAAAGGCTTTGAACTTTTTTTTTTTTTTGGTAGAAAAAGGAACATAATTTTCATGCTGTAAAAAGTCCCACACCCTCTCTTGCAAGCAGAACAAATATGGGCGTAGCATGATGGTAACACGGAAATTGTTCTCACAAAGCTTTGAAGTGCTCATCTCCTATTTACTACAAAATGTATCCACATCTCTCTTTTAAGCAGAATTTGTGCATGAACTGTGCAAACTGTCTAAGAAGTACAGCAACCGCTAAGCTGGCTGCAGAAGCAGCAGCTCTGCATGGAGCAATGCTACACATGGACTCAGATGCCTGAGATCTGCTTTGTGTGGATACCACCTGTAATCATTCACCTACTGCTCTAATGGAACATTCTTGGGACATTTGGTTTCCAAAAATAAAAACAGTGTAAAATCCTTGCTTCTTGGAATGTGCTTTAAATGCCATGCTTCCCACCCTCCCCCCCAACTGGAATTCCACTCACATAATGCCACAAGGCAGCCACTCCATAACACAATGTTATATCCCTTGCAGAACCATAGCTATCTATATATTTTTTTTTTCCTTTCTTTCCTTCAACTATTGATAATGTAAGCACAACAAAATAATTTTTTTTCCTTTGTATTTCAATTTGAAGATATTCAAATGATTTGTGGTGTGGATTCACATCATATGGAAGGTGCAACATGGAGAGGGTCACAGGAACTTTGGTGGGATGTTCTAGCAGAAGAGGATCCTATCCAACAACCAAATAAAACATTCAGTCTCATCTGCGAGGTCTCTGCTTGGGGAGATCATGTCCAACATGCAAAAGGCAGCTGTAATACATACAGCCTTAAGCAGTTGCCTAATTACACTACAGTTGCTTCTGAATGCAAGGAGGAATGAAGGAGGGAAAGATCAGAAACAACACTGAGTTAGGAGTGTGATGAAATTGCATGCTTTTTTTTTTCCCAAGGAGGTGGTTGTACAAAGGCTACTAACAGTTGATTTGCACCATTTGTATGCCCACTTTTTTTTTTTTTATTTTATGTTTTTGTAGTGGGAGTTAAAAAAGTTAAGAGTCCAGCTGGAGCCAGATCAGCACTTTCTAGATGACAAATGTTCCCTTTGGTGTATCAAATACAATATATATACTGCTGCAGTATCTACTGCTAGCAAATTTGAAACCAAACTAACAATGAAAGAAACAAAACCTGTGCACTCACTGTATTTGACAAAGTCTTAGAAGCAAAGCTTAGCCTTCAACTCATTCTTAAAACAAACAAAGAAACCAAGCCAACACTCCAGTGGTTCTGAATTCACTTTGCTAGTTTTTGATCTCAAATGATGAATCAATTCTACAGCACCTTGTTTTTTTTTTGAAGCA